CATTTCCTTAAAAAACATTTTAATGAAATAATATTTTTATTAATAAACACCTACCGAATCATTCGCTGCTAGTGCAAGTGCAAGGTTCACTGTAAGAAACAAGAAAGTAATTAAACTTAGTAACTTTACTTCTACTAAAATTCAGTTTGCCTTCTAATATTTTCAATGTAATAACCAAAGCACAGAAATTTTTAATGTATTTCCTTTACTTATAAAAAACAAAGACACAGAACACAGAAAGTAAAAAAGACAAAAAGACAGTAACATCCCAACATAAGCAATAGATGCCTGCCCCTACAGTTAACATTTTAAATGATCCATTTTTATAATCTGTTATAATGTTGTTTAAATAATCTACTTAGCTTTTAAAAAACAATGTTACTGATATATATAGTTCAATTATTTTCAAAAACATTTTGCCAAAAAAGTATATACCTTTTAACAAATAAAAATGTATATGATCCTTTGCCTTTTAAACATAAATGCTGATAATGCAGGAATTCCAAGTACCTAACTCACAAATACCCCTGTATGAAAGGCTGGACCACTGTGCAAAGGAAAGAGGAGAGGGTCAAAGGTAAGGTAGTAAAACATGTTCCCAAAACTGCCTATTGCTAGTGAATCCCAAAGACATAAAGAAGTAGTCCCCAAACCACCTTGAGCCCAGCAACAGAGGTATGTTACACCTGAGATGAAGAGATCCCAAGGTAACAAAATTCCAAGAACGATAAGTAGACTTTCATACTGTGAATCAACCACCTTTAACAGTACAATGTCATTAATGATGCTGAGATTACTTCCTTTAAAGTAGTTAAGAGCATAAATTTTCAAGGCAGACCTGGTTCAAATCCTACTTCTACCACCTTCTATTACATAACCTTGAGTACAATATTTTACCCCTAAATTTATTTTCCTCCTCTATAAAATGAGGATAATTCCTCTTTCATAACTGTTGTGAGAATTAAATGAAATACTGATATAAAGTACTTAGACTAGGACATGACACTTGACAAATCAATTTTTTTTTGACAAATCAATTTTTATAAATTATCAAATAATTCTGAATTTCAGGTATATTACAGGTTATACAATCTAAGTATTAAGCAGAAACTTTTAGAGAATACATCATTTCATTGTTAGGATCCTCTCACATTTACACAATGGAATCAGAGCATGTTTGTATTAACCATGTATCATCATTATAACTGAAAAAAATCTCTAGCATACATATGCAAATGGGAAAAATTTTGAGATAGTTTGGAACATATATTTAGTTTCAAACATATATATGTGTGTATATATATGCAGACAGAGCTGTTAGAAAAAAAGTAAAGGCCAGTTTTTTGGGACAGATGGTTTAATGCTAACAAAGAAAAAAGGCAAGGAAGGGGCATTTACTAAAATACTACTGTTTGTCACAACTGCATATTTTTTCATATATTTTCCTATTTAAATGCTGTCACATTCCTTGGCAATAGATGATCCGCTAACCAAAAACAAAAACAATATTTTAAACAAGTACTAGACTACAGACCCAACAAATTATATTGCATAAAACTCAAAGAACTTAGGGATATCATCATGAAAATATTTTCCAACTTTAACCAGTCCAAGTAATCACACAGCATCCAAAGGAATTCACTTTACTGAAAACAAATAAATGTACTATGAGTTTTCAAAAAACAAGAAGAGGTGGATTCTAGAACCAAAAACTAAAAGCTTCTAAATTTTATTTTTTTTTTTTTTAAGATTTTATTTATTTATTTGACAGAGAGAGAGAGATCACAAGTAGGCAGAGAGTCAGGCAGGGGTGGGGGGTAGTGGGGGGAGCAGGCTCCCTGCTGAGCAGAGAGCCTGATGCGGGACTCGATCCCAGGACCCTGAGATCATGACCTGAGCCGAAGGCAGCGGCTTAATCCACTGAGCCACCCAGGTGCCCCAAAGCTTCTAAATTTTAAAAGCAAAATATTAAATAGATGGATTGTAGATCCTTAGGAAAGAAAGTAAAAATGTGTAGCATATAGCATTGGAACAATCACTAATCTTTCTTAAGTAATAATACAGTATCTATCAAACAATAATAATATTAGAGGTCTATTATAACTATAATACTTGGTAAGTCTTATTTTCTTTAAAACATCTGAAAAACTCTTCCACAATTACTTCAGGTAAGAATGAGAAAAAAAATTAGGCTAATAAACTATATAGTTGGATTTGTAGCTGGTTGTACAATCATAAAACTGCTATACTGGGAAATTACTAAAAATGGCATTTTAAGTGAAGACATAAGATCTTTAGTCACAAAACTCCGTACTAGCCCTTCTTATTTCAAAATGTCATTGATTTCAATGGAACTGAAGAATTTTAAGGTACATATATTCCCCAACTTTAGGTTAATAGTCTGACAAAAAAACCTGTAATTTATAAGATCTTGACAATCTGGAACTACACCAAAATCAACAAATAAAATAGTCATTTTTTTAAAATTACCTGCAAAAAAAGATCAACTGGATAAGACTTGAATTAGCAGCCATTCCTATATTAATGACTGAAAATACAAGGCAACAATAATATAATAGTATTTTATAACTCCAGGAGCGCCTGGTAGTGCAGGCAGTTAAGCAGCCCACTCTTGATTTTAACTCACGTTTTGATCTCGGGGTTGTGAGGTTGAGCCCTGAGTCAGGCTTTGCACTCAGTGCAAGAGTCTGCTTGAGATTCTCTCCTTTCCCTCTGCCCCTCCTATTCATGCTCTGTCTCTCTCTCTCTCTCAACCTGTCTCTAAAATAAGCATATCTTTAAAAAAAGGGGTGGGGGGTTTATGACTCCAAATTAATAATACGAGTTGTGTTGTAGAACCGGAAGAAGGGAAATCATTACCCTTTTACATTATTACACCAAAATAATCATTTTAGAAATAAGAAATTCTGGAGCATCTGGGTAGCTCAGTTGGTTAGCTATTGATTTTGGCTTGGGGCATGATCTCAGGGCCCTGGGATAGAGCCTGGCATTAGGCTCCCTGCTCAGCGGATAATCTGCTTAAGGATATTCTCTCCTTCCTTTGCCCCTCCATCTGCTTGTTCTCGCCCTCTCTCAAATAAATAAATCTTTAAAAAATAAAAATTAAAAATTTCTTTTGAAAAATTTTGGGAATATCCAGTTATTAGTCTTAGATGGTAACTCTTCTATTTCTGGTGACATTTCTCCTATGAATCTGAAAGCAGCATTTCAGTCACCATGAAATCTACAATCAATTAAAAAGAGCCACCAAAAACAAATTTTCTGCTCCAGTATTGTTAAGAGAAAAGATACAAAGATTAGATGGTATTTTAAACAATTTAAACAATGTTAAACATTTACAAACATTTTCAGGGGTGCCTGGGTGGCTCAGTGGGTTAAAGCCTCTGCCTTCGGCTCAGGTCATGATCCCAGGATCATAGGATCAAGCCCTGCATCAGGCTCTCTGCTCAATGGGGAGCCTGCTTCCTCCTCTCTCTCTCTGCCTGCCTCTCCGCCTACTTGTGATCTCTCTCTCTGTCAAATAAATAAATAAAATGTTTAAAAAAAAATTTTTTTTCAAATATTAGATCAATGCTTATTTTATAAATGTTGAAAATTACATTATGGTTAAATGAAAAAGGTCTTAATAATCTAAAAAGTCTCACTGCAATTTTGTAGCTATATGTACATTCATAGACTGGAAGAGAACATCAAAGAACAGAAATAATTTAGTATTAAAGTTATTAAATGTTTAAAAAATAACAGCAACCAAATATTGAGCACTAACTATCTAAGACACTCTGAGCTAAGTGGCTAGCTTGTTTAATTTACATAGCCACCCTATGTAAAAGGTTATCATTGTTATTTTACAGTTAGGTAAACTGAAGATCTGATGGATAATCTGACCACCTTTTCCTCAGTTAAGGAGTCAAGCATCTGGCTATGTACCTAGCTTTTTGAAACTGCTAATCTAACTTCCTAATCACTACCAACTCCTGATACTACAAAATCAGCTATTAGCAATTTCACAAATAACTCTTTAAAAATCAAAACTATTAATTTTAATGCTATGCACTTGCCAGTTGGTATAAATTCCTACTTGAGATCAGAATATCTTATATCCTATAATACCTGCTGTAGTAGACTTTCCAACTCCACCTTTTCCGGAAGCCACAACTATAACTTGCTTTACACCTTCTATTGGTTTCTGCTTTGGAAGTCCTCGGGACATGATTTGCATTCTTCTTTGTTTTAAGGTCTCATTGTCAGCACCAGATAACTTTAAAAAAAAAAAAAAAAAAGTTTTAAAATAAGCCATCTCTATTATCATGCCTTTAAAGTAAAAATTCGGAGTTTGTTAGAGGGCCTTCCTTTCTAGGCTAATTTTTATCTCTATTTGTTATCTTTTGTGCTATCTACCTACCACTATTGATCACAGTCGTGGAAATACACTGTTTTAGCTGAAATTTACCTGCCAGCGTACCCAGACATTAAAAATGGAAAGTAAGTAAACTGTATCTTTACGGAGTTAAATCCTCCACGTGTTTACTTCTCTTTAATCTATTTTCTAAATAAACTAACAGATAAGACAATGCACAAGTCACACATCCATGTTCAAGAATTGTTTCACATTCCGCCACTCCTCGGCCAGGTCCTACTGGGGGCCTGCTTGGAAACTGGGGACATCCAGCCAACCGGGGTCTCACTTTGCCGCCTAGTTGGCGGGGACCCGTTAAGGTCTGAGGTGAGGCCTCCGCAAGAGGTTATGCCAGTGCATCTCCGTCCCTCCCGCCTCCCCCTGTCCAGCAGCACCACGAACCTGGCGCCGACAAACCAACACTCGGCTTCCCGCACGCGGGACACCTGCCCCGCCACCACCCCGAAGCGATACCCAGCCAAAAATCAATAAACGCCGCCAAAACCCCATAGCGTGGAACACGGCTTTAAGCCCAACCCGGAAACCGTCGCGGCCGGCGCGGGGTGATGACGTCACGTAGTAACGCTCGGCTTCCTCTCCCTAGAGACAAGCCGTCTTTTAATTTCTTCAGCGGGGAAAACCAAGTTAATGCAGTCTCGTTCGTAGCCAGGTACAAATGTTTTACGGAGTTTAACCAAATGTTTGTGAAGCGTTTTTCACATACCTCATCTGTTTGGGCCTTAACAGAAATCCTCGGGTAGGTAGATAGGAGACTCTTACTAGTATTCTCTTTTCAGTAGTAATAAATGAGACTTAACAAAGTCTAGCGACTTGACCCGACTGAAAAGAAGTAGGAAATTGTGTAACTTGAAAATAAATGACTCCAGATTCTCACTGCGCAGAATATGGTAACTTAAACATTCCCACCCCTAAGGATTTTACCTCCCCCCACCCCCGAACCCGCGTGATCTACAATAATAGTATATATATGTGTGTGTATTTATATTTATATTTATTTACTGCCGTGTTGCTTACAATTCCCTGAAAGAGAAGTCAGGTGCTTTGCTGCACTCAGAAAAGTTTAGTTAAATCAGAAAGCAGGTCTAATAAAGTCAGTTTCACTCATGAAAAAGTTAAGTGAGACAAAACTTGAGGGCAAAAGTGGAGTTTATTTTGTATAGAGGAATGAAGTATTCCTACATCCAAAGCAGATGAGAGTGAAGGAAACAGAGGTACAAGAAAAGCTAGAAAGCTGATACAGAAACCCAGACCCAGCAAAAGGATCAGTTAGGGAGTAGGTTGGCTTACTCTGACATATTCTCCATATTTTTTAAGGTTGATTTTAATTTCTGTTGTTTGCTTCTTATTTGTAGAGAATTTGTTGTATAATCATTCAGTTTGTTTTGCTCTACTTTGGTCTTCAATTTTCTTGTCTTTACTACAGGCACATTTCAGTCTCAAAGAATTATTTCAAGGATTAGGTTTACTAACAAGTACATTTGCTCTGAAAAAAATTCAGTTCCTTGCCTTTTCTCCCCCAATCTCACCTTACTGCTTCCTTTGGCTTATCACTTTCTTATTTTGCAATATGTTTTCTCAGTTAATTTTATCAATTTTTATCTGCTCAATTTTTATATATTATAAGCCCAAACAATAAGAATAAAGAGAATGGCTGTCAGAATAATCCACTCAGTAAGCAAGAAATGCTGAATATCTGTTTCTGTCCAAGTGGCTTTTCAACTTCTTCTAGACTTATGAAGATACATTCATTGAACAAATATTTACTGAGCAACTTACTATGACCAAGTACTACCCTAAACATAGGATTTTCAACAAAACCAGATAAAGTCCTTCCACTCAAGGACTTTACCAATCAGTGTCAGAGACAGAATAAGTTAACTGACAGTTCAGCATAATAGTGTAATAAGTATAGGAAAAAAGCACTGAGAGATACAGAATTACAAAGAAGGCGCACCTAAATCATTCAGGGAAGTCTTTTGGATAGGGTAACCTCTAAGATGAATCCTTAATGTGGGTAATGTGTAGGCATCAGCTGAGAGAACAGCTGGAGGGTGGTTGTGCAGAGTAAGAAACGAACTGGTAAGAACTTTAAATAATTTTCAAGGCTTGCAAATAGAGTATGAGGTACAAGATGGTGCAGAGAGATGGAAGTTGGCAAAGGATGAAGAGTGCATAGATCATAAAAGACTTTATATATCATTTAAAGGAATTGGGACTTTATCCTAGGGGAACCACAGAAGGGCTTAAAGTGAGAAAACAACATAATTAGATATCTATTTTAGAATTACTACAGATTACCAGATTTTAAAAAATGGTTGGGAGAGGTGTGACCAGGGTTAGGTAGGTAGAAGGTTATTATAGTAATCCAAGAGAAATGTTTGCTTATAAAATAGATAATACCTACTTGTAGGGTTGTTGTAACGTTAAATTTAAAATAATTCATGTAGAAAATATAAAAATACATACATACATAAAATAATGCATGCAGAATACCTATCACAAAGTACACATATTCAATAAATGTTAGCTATCGTGCTGCTTATTGGTTATGTAGACATTTATGACATGGACAATTAGATAAATGGTCCTGCCATTCTCTGAGAGAGAACATAAAGGGAGGAACAAGTAATATCAGTGTTTGTAGAATGAATAAATCATTAATTTGATTTACCTTTCAGCAGAATAGAGTATCAGAAGAGTTGTAGAGACGTCCATTATTTCTTCTCCAGCAACCACTGCCACAAACACACACATACGTGCGTGCGCACACACACACACACACCCACCCATGGCCCCTTCTCGAAAGACTATTCTCCCTTTTCTCCTAAGAATTTCTAAGCCATCTGACCCCATCCCATGGTCACTAACTGAGTTAAAGATAGACACAAAAATAAAATTGGACCAAGAGAGTCTTTCTCCAGAAAACTTTAAAACAAGAGATGTTACTCAATCTTAGTTTGCATTGGAAATGGTAAGGCTGAAGTGACTAATTTCTTCTTTGAGCACAGAGAAGCAGAAAAAGCTAATGCCAAGAGAGAAGAATAAAGCAGACCATAAGAGATCATGTGTTCAAAGAGGGAGGGGAGAACAACTGCACTGATTCATAATAGCTTTCCAATTCCTGGTTCTAGTCCATAGTGAGGTTCAAGCTATACTTCCTATTCGTAGATCCATAAGATATACCTACAGCCATCTAATAAATTCTCTTTCTTCTGCTTTGGCCTAATTTGGGCGTGTTTCTGTGTACTTATAACTATGGTAAGATATGTTGTGTAGTATATATAAAGACTTTTTCCCCTATAATTCCTTGTTACTTATATAGCCCTTCCCTATTTTGATAAACTATGTGGCATCATTTTATGATACATAAAAATATTAGAGAAAAGAAATTTGTTTCTTTGTTTTCAGTTTTCAAAATTGGGACCTTTAAGGAGAATGGAGACAGCTTTGGCAAAGACAATACCTTTGGGAGAAACACATGATATAAAAACATGGTTTCTTACCTATATAAATTAGGATTACATTGGCTGCAAGTAGCAGAAAACTCTGTCATTGTCTTAAATAAGCAGAGATGTATTAGTTTCATAAAGAAAAGGTCACTGGTAGACTGTTCAGGTCTGATGCAGTGGTTCCACTGTGTTATTATGTGCCAAATTCATTCTTTAGGTTCCATCATCTTGTTGCCCTTATTTTGTCCCCAAGATGGTGGCTGCACCTCCAGGCATCAAGGCTATGTTCCACACAGGAAAAGAGGAGAATGACAAAGATAAAAAGCTTTCTCTAGTGAGTATTTGCCCTTTGGGGGTGGGGGGAGAAGCCATATACACACCAAACTGGCTAGAACCAGTTCACATGACCACCCCTAAAAGCAAAAGAAGCTGAGAAATCAAACATATACATATCTTTAACCTAGAGGAAAGCAATGGAAAAAATTATTGGAAATGGATATTGAATAAGCCAACTCAATATCTGTCCTAGAAAGACTACATAAAATTTTGTGGGATTATGGGGAATCAAGACAGAAGAAAAGTGAGAACTTAGATATTCAGAAGTTCTTAAGCCAGATAACATTTTCAACCCTCAATTTCCTTGCATCATACAACTATAAAGGATGGAAAACCAAATACTTACTTTCCTAGTCTCACTTGCTAATTCTAGACATAATTCTTGGCATGTATGGTATAGTTCTGGACAACATGGTGTAAGGGAAATTTTCTGGAGGATCTTCTAAGAAACTTGCTATAAGGTAGAACATAACTGATGCTACTCCTTTTTCCCATCTTACCTATGGAAGTGACACCTGGAGGTGTGACAGTCATCTGGTGAACATGAGAAGCACAGTGATAACAGATAAATGACAAAAGCCAACAGCTAAGGGTAATGAAGTGAAATTATGTCAGGTAGATGAATTCTTAGTCATATAGTTAAGCTGTTATGCCAGTACTGAACTGAATCTCTAGAGCTCTTGTTGTGTGAGATAATTAATTGTTTTAACCACTACTGATTAGGATTTTTGTTATTTGAAGTTAAAATAATTAGTGCTTATTACAGAGTCAAAGAAAGAACGTGATACACTGGGATTACCTCTCTCCTATTGAATCTCAGTAAAGAGGGGGAACATCCGAGCCCCAAATCAGGGTAAGAGATATAAGAACTATAGAATCAATGCCCCATTACCAATGTAGTGGCAGAACCACAGAATAAAAACAGCTGAGTGTTGTGCGTAGGCAGACAGTCTGAGAGAACTCCTATAAGAGTGGCCGAGAGAAAGCTGATCTTTAAGAGAACTTAAGGTCAAGAATAAGAGAAGACTTGGCAAGAGTCTGCATGGTTAAAGATCTGGCATCTCAATCAATATTGGTATAAATAGATAAAGACCTTGAAGATTAAAGGTCACATCACCATGTGGACATCTGAACACTACATAGGCACAGTCCTGGTTTCTACCACCCAAGAGAAATGAACAAATAAGTATTGTTCAAAACAAAGAGGATTCTTTCAAATGTCTCCTAACTATGAATAGAGTAATACTTTGTATTATTTCCTAGAAAGCATGTATTTGTATCTGCTAGAATCCCTCCCTCCGCCCCCCCCAAAAAGGTACTCAGGTGACCACAGACATCCTGAAAGTTCAGATTCCCACACAGAAGCAGTGCCTGCCTCATCCACTGTCCATAAGCCTCACTTTTCAGCTGAGAACATGCTTCATTCCTCTGTTCAATTCACTAAGGAAGAAGAGAGTATTACAGTGTCCTGTCTGTTAAATATACTAACTAAAGCTTAGAAACTTGTGCCAGTTCCTTCAGTTTAAAGTTGTTGTCCCCAACTGAACATTTTATCCTGTCCAGAGGGCTTGCTGAAATGACAACCTTACCCCATCAATGGACCTGTCTAAATGACAGCCCCATTTATTGCCCCTACTTTGTCCTATGGTGTGATTTGTTTCTAAATATCTCTGCTCATGACTAAACATGACACTGTTTCTTACCTATATCTAATATAAATTTTCACATTGAAATATAAATTATTTCTGCTTAGGTAAATAGCTTCTCAGTGAGTCAATCTCTCTGTAGGAAACCTGGTCTAAAAAGTTTTCCCATATCAAACACTTTTTAGTACCTTAGCTCAAGTTAACTAAGGTGCTGTCACAGAAATTCCCCAGTCTTATTTTTTAAAATTACATAAAGCAAATGTATGTATATTCTTAGACTAGTCTTCTGAGAATAGACCTCCCACTGACTAAAAATCTACCTCTAGAATGAGACAGGATGGGTTTCTAAATGCCAGTATTCAAAGCTGGATAAATCATGGGTGATTTGACATTTGAATTTCTGATTTATAAGACTGAGCTGAATCCTTGGACAAAGGTCACAGGGCTCGAGTTATAGCTGAATATATTCTCTATTTACTGTTTAAGGCTTCAGAGAAGATCCTATCCTGAAATAGAAGCCACACAATCAGAATTTAGAAAAAGTATTGTCACCCAAGACAAATACTTGCTACACACAGAGCCTTAGTATTCTCGTGCTTTTGCTTTTTTAGTTCATTTTCTCCAGGTACCAAGCCTGTATTCATTCAGCCAAGTCCTTCCTACCCTCCAGTTCTATCCTAGAGATTAGAAGACGTAAGTCTCTACAAGATTTTGCTAAAACCTTACTTCATTCTGTATTCAGAAGAGAATTTTCCTGTGTACTTTAGAGAACACACCAAGGACAATGACAAAGCAGAGCCCCATCAAGATACCAAACCTCCCTATCAGCTAATGTGAAGTTCTATTTTCTTCAGGGAAAAGGAGATAATGTAGATTTTTGTCTGTGGTACACAGCCCCCCAAATGTGAGGATGTCCTCTATAATAATAATATAATAATATAAGCTTACATAATGTCTTAGTCTACGTGTTCTGATACCAAATCTTGTCAATTCATTTAATAACCTTTTCTATTTAGGATTTATTAACCATATATATAGGGATTACACATGACATGTTATAAATATGCAAGCAAAAAATTTGTTCCCTCCATTTATAAAGGTAAAGAGCTCCTACCAAACCACTATAATCTCTCAAAATACATCTGCATGCTTATTTAGAGCAATAAAGTGGAAATACCATCATTAAGGGTTATAATATCAATATGATCTAGGATAGACAGACAGACTTCAAAGTCTGAAGTTTATCTTTGTCTTCAACCTTCCACACAGCTCTTAAGCTGTTCAGAATGCTCCAATTCATACCAAACAACCTTGTAGGCAATATTTGGGTCCATTTTTCACTGCATCTTAAAATAGGATTTTCCAGGGGTGCCTGGGTGGCCCAGTCAGTTAAGCATCTGACTCTTGATTTCAGCTCAGGTCATGATCTCAGGGTTGTGAGATGGAGCCCTGCACTGGACTCTGTGCTCAGTGTGGAGTCTGCTTGAGATTCTCTCTCTCCCTCTGCCCCTCCCCCCAACTTGAGCATGTTCTCTGTCTCTCTTTCCCTCTCTCTCTTAAAATAATAAATAAATAAAATCTTCCAAAAAAAAAAAAGTAGGATTTTCCTGACCACCTATGATTCAGGCTAATAAATTTACTTTCATTCTTATTAGTGACCCATCTACTGACTAAAACACAACCGTCTAAACACTATTGAAGTGATAATTACTAATCTCTTCCATCTCAGGCTTTTCTAGTCTTTGCTAGTCTTTAAAACAGAGAAAAATATTTTTGCATAGAAAATACTCATTTGGGGCATAATTATTTTAAGTAGTTTAAAAACTGGTGTTTTCATTTGATTAAGAATACAAAAAGTTCTTTTAATTACCAAAAGAAGTTCTGTCATTTTCTCAAAGTCAAAGACTTTATTATATCAATGCCACATTGAATCTCTTTTGCAAGTTTCTAATCATGTGCAAGAATTAGGGTTTTATTTAACCAAGGCCATTAATGTGAAGGAACATGCTGGCAATGTGCTGTTGAGAATGATATTTTTAATAGATATGTTACCAGTATAACAAAATAAACACCATTTGCTAATGCAGTACACTTTGCTGATGAAATATATACACATATAATTATATTTTCTCTAATACTTTTCTGAAGTACTATTTGCCACTTTTCCAGGGTCTGATATAGGGCTATCTCATATCATAATTGACAGTACTGGACAAAGAACAAAATAGGAGAAGAAGAAAATAATGTGCTTATTAGTTGGCACTTATTAGTTTGTGATGCTGTATAGTTAACAGGAAATCTATTTAAGCCAATCTCACTAATTCCTTCTGGATTATAGAATTAATTGAGAATGATCTCTTTGTGGGCACCTCTCTGTAGCTTATGTTATACAAGAATCAGTTTCTTGCCAACAGACTCTAAGATGGCCCAAAATGATTCTTGTCTCTTGGTATTGATACCCTTTGTAATCCGCTCCCTTTAAGTGTGACCAGGACCTATAAATGGGTTCTCACCAACAGAATACAACAACAGTGATAAAATGTCACTTCTGTGATTACAATATGTAAGACTGTAACTTCTGGCTCTCTAGGGCACCTCCTGGCTGGCTTTGACAAAGCAAACTGCCATGTTATAAACTGCCTATGGAAAAGGCCATGTGGCAAGGAGCAGGTGACAGCCAGCAAAGAACTGAGGCCCTCTGTCCAACAGTCTGCAAGGAATCAAATTTTGCCAACAACCAGATTGGAAGTAGATTGAAAGTAGATGCTTCCCAGGTGAGCTTTCAAATGAGACTCCAGCCCTGGATGACCCTGTGTTTGTAGCCTTATGAAAGATCATGAAGCAAAGGACTCAGTTAAGCTGTACCCAGATTCCTGATCCATAGAAACTGTAAGATAATAAATGTGTGTTCTTTGGAGCACCTGGGTGGCACAGCTGGTTAAGCTGTTGGTTAAAAGTTGGTCCAACTCTTGGTTTCAGCTCAGGTCATGATCTCAGGGTAGTGAGATAGAGCCCCACATAGGGCTCTGAGCTCAGCTTTGAGTCTGCTTGAGATTCTCTCTCTCCCTCTGCCCCTTCCCACTCCCTGTATTCTCTTGCTTACTCTCACTCAAATAAATAAATCTCGTTAAAAAAAAAGTATGTTCTTTAAGCTGCCAAGTTTATGGTAATTAGTTATGCAGCAATGGATAACTAATATTCAGTAACCCAGATTTTGGTAATAATATAGTCAAGGTATGGTTTCTTGTAGCAGTTTTTTTTTTTAATTATTGAGATATAATTGACATATAATGGCAATTCTTTTTTGCCATATAAAAATATGCATATTTTGCTAAGAAATTAAATCCTTCGTGTATTTTGCACCTATGTTGAGAATTTTAAGTGTTATTATTTTAGTATTAATAGTTGTTATGTTATCAAACCTCATAAAATATTATTTTAATATGCGGTACTAAAGAATAGACACATGAAGGCAGTGAATTGAAGACTATCTTTGCTTCACAAATCAAGTTATGTTTTTCTTAGTAACAATTGAGCACACCTTTTATTTTAAAGTAGGCTCCATGCCCAACATGGGGCTTGAATGCATGACCCTGAGATCCAGAGTCCCATGCTGTACCAACTGAGCGACCCAGGTTCCCCTTGAATCTACTTTTGATAACAATTGAACTCACTTTCTAGTGAAAGAAAAATTAGTGTTACAGTTCTATTCTTTTTGCTCTTCTCTCAATGATCAAAATAGTTTCTCTCTGGGGTGCCTGGGTGGCTCAGTGGGTTGAGCCTCTCATATTTCTTCATATGCAACATGAAAAGATTAAACAATCTGTAGATTTACTTTCCAAGCTCATACTGAAGAGTACAAGGTTGTGTAACTTCCCTTTTCCCAAAATAATTTTGAGAAAAATAAAGGCAAAATAGTTTAGAGATGCTGCAGACCAGAAAAAGCACAAAGTTTATTGCCTTCCTTAAATAAGACATAAATCAAAGAGTTATATAGGGGTTTTTCACATTTAGAATCACTAGTTCATCTTGGAAGTCGTTTCTATTCCATTTCTTGGGACCTAGATTTTTGACTTCTCATGCTCCAAAGAGCTTGCAACTCTAACCACAGTTTCTGCCAAAGAAATTATTGTCCAAAGTCCTTTCTAAGTAAAAAATACAAAATGGAAGAAACAGATTATTATAGGTTCTCTTCTGGCCTAGGTCATAGGAGACTGATCAGACCCTGTTTTCCTTCTTGACAAAGTATTAAAATATGTCAACCTATATAAATATCCATTTTCAAAAATAGGGACACCTGGGTGGGTCAGTCAGTTAAGCGACTGCCTTCAGCTCAGGTCATGATCCCAGGGTCCTGGGATAGAGCCCCACATCGGGCTCCCTACTCAATGGAGAGACCCTGATTTTCCCTCTCCCTCTGCCTGTTGCACTGCCTACTTATGCTCTCTCTCTATCTCTCTGTCAAATAAATAAATAAATAAAATTATATATATATATATATATATATATATATATATATATATATATCTCAAATGTTTCTTTCATTACATCTAAATCATCAAAATCCCAGTCATAATCCAAATTAACAAGTTGACTCTAAGATTTCTATGGAAATTCAAAGGACCTAAAATACTCAAAACAATCTTGAAAAAGAACAAAATCAGAGGGCTCACACTTCTAACTTTAAGACTTAAAATAAAACTACAGTAAACGAAACAGTATAGTAATGGCATGAAGCTCAACAAATAGATTAATACAAGAGAACAGGACAGAAATAGATCCGCACTTACACAATTTTTTTGTTCTTCAAAAAGGTGCCAAAGTATCCAATCAGGTAACAAAGATCTTTTCAACAGTGTTCCTCAAACAACAGTGTCTCTCATCCCACATCATCAAGGTTGACCATAAACCCACTGACTTAAGAGTAATCACAAGTTTCTTAACTGGGACATAGAATGCAATAGCCATTAAAAAAAAAAAAAAAAACTGAAAAATTAGTCTTGATTGAATTTGAAACTTTTGCTCATCAAAAGATACCATTTAAAAAAAAAAAAAATGAAGGGGGTGCCTGGGTAGCTCAGTTATTAAGTATCTGACTTTGGCTCAGTTCATGATCTCAGGGTTCTGGGATCAAGCCCCACATCAGGCTCCCTGCTTAGTGGGAAGCCTGCTTATCCCTCTCCCACTCCCCATGCTTGTATTCCCTCTCTTGCTGTGTCTCTCTCTGTCAAATAAATAAAATATTTAAAAAAACAAACAAACAAAAAAAGGATATTTAAAAAAAATGAAGAGTCAGGGGGCACCTGGATGACACAGTAAGTTAACCAACTAACTCAGTTTGGAGTCAGGTCATGATCTCAAGGTCATGAGATTGAACCCTGTCAGGTTCTGCCCTCAGCTTGGAGTCTGCTTGAGATGCTCTCTCGCTCTTCCTCTACCCCTCCTGCTCCTGTGCTCGCTCTCTCTCTCTCTCTCTCCCTCTAAAATAAATAAATAAATCTTTTTAAAAAATGGATAATCAAGCCACAGACTGAGAGAAAATAGTTACAAAACATATATCTGATAAGGACTGGTATCTAGAACTGCACTGTCCAATATGGTAGCCATTAGCTAATGTAGCTATTTCAATTTAAATTAATTAAAGTTAAATACAATTAAAAATACACTTCCTTGGGTGCCTGGGTGGCTAAGATGGTTAAGCAAGTGCCTTTAGCTCAGATCATGATCCTGGAGTCCCTGGATTGAATTCCACATCAGGCTCCCTGCTTGATGTGGAGTCTGCTTCTCCCTCTAACCCTCCTTCTCATGTTCTCCTTCCCTCTTTCAAATAAATAAATAAAATCTTTAAAAAAATATATACCTCCTCATTTGTACTAGGCACTTTTCACAATAAACATATTGGATTATGCAGAAAATTCCAATGGACAGCACTCATTATACTTTCAGGGATCATTTCTACAGTTTGTTACTAGAATATAAAGAAATACTACTCACAATAAAGAGACAATCTGATAGAAAATAAACAAAGGTTTGAAAAGATGTTTCATAAAAGGACAATAAGTACAGTAAGGACAATAAATATACTAAGCCAGTAAATACAGTAAGCCAATAAGGACATGAAAAAAGTATGCAACATAATTAACCAATAGGGAAATGCACATTAAAATTAAAGTGATGAGGGGCGCCTGGGTGGCTCAGTGGGTTAAAGCCTCTGCCTTCGGCTCAGGTCATGATACCAGGGTCCTGGGATCGAGCCCCGCATCTGGCTCTCTGCTCAGCAGGGAGCCTGCTTCCCCCTCTCTCTCTCTGTCTGCCTCTCTGCCTACTTGTGATCTCTGTCTGTCAAATAAATAAATAAATAAGTCTTAAAAAATAAAATAAAATAAAATTACAGTGATGTATCAGTCACTACATACACACTGGAATGTCTAAAATTTAAAGGAATGACAGAACCAAACACTGACAAGGCACTTTCTTATATTATTGATGGAGATTTAAAATGATATAACCACTTGGAAAAATAGTCTGACATTAGAAGACTTAAATATACACCTACCCTATGACCAGCAATTCCACTCCTGGGCATTTACCCAAGAGAAACAAAAACATACCCCACAAAAACTCAATGCAAGTGCTCATAACAGCTTCATTTATAAAGGCCTCAAAGTGGAAATAGCCCAGATGTACATCAATGGCAGAAAAGATTTTCAAATTATTGTATATTTATAAATAAAGGCAAGAAAAGGAACAAATGTGAAACAATATAGATAAATCTCAAAAACATTATGCTAGTGAAAGAAACCTAAGACACAAGAGTACATACTGTATGATTTCATTTATATGAAATTCTAGAACAGACAAAACTAATCCATGGTAGAGAAAAAATTATAACAGTTATTGCCTCTGGAGGAGGTGGGGGCAGGGATTATTTGGAAAGGGGCATGATAGAACTTTCTGGAGTAATAATAATGGCCTACATTATCATATTAGTTTGCCTTACCCATGTGTATGTTTCAAACTCAGCAAATATACACATAAGATTTACACGTTATTATATGTAAATTTTACATTTTAACAACTGTATTAAACTCTAATTATTGATACATATGCTGAAGTATTTTGGGAGAAGTATAATGATGTCTGCAATTTACTTTAAAATGCATCAAAAAGTATATCAACTACCACAACTGAACCAGGAAGAAATAGAAAACCTGAACAGACCCATAACCAGTAAGGAGATTGAAACAGTCATCAAAAATTTCCAAACAAACAAAAGCCCAGGGTGAGACGGCTTCCCGGGGGAATTCTACCAAACATTTAAAGAAGAACTAATTCCTATTCTCCTGAAACTGTTCCAAAAAATAGAAATGGAAGGAAAACTTCCAAAATCATTTTATGAGGCCAGCATTACCTTGATCCCAAAACCAGACAAGGATCCCATCAAAAAAGAGAACTACAGACCAATATCCTTGATGAACACAGATGTGAAAATTCTCACCAAAATACTAGCCAATAGGATTCAACAGTACATTAAAAGGATTATTCACCACGACCAAGTGGGATTTATTCCAGGGCTGCAAGGTTGGTTCAACATCCGCAAATGAATCAATGTGATACAACATATTAATAAAAGAAAGAACAAGAACCATATGATACTCTCAATAGATGCTGAAAAAGCATTTGACAAAGTA